TTTTAAAGAAAAACACAAAGTGTGCGAAGTAATGAAAGGCGATTTTGTAAAAAGAAAAAGGTGCTTTTGATAGAATGAAAACGAAACATGATTTTAATGATAAAACTAACTCAGAAAACGAAAATATGACTAAAAGTAAATTGAAGAATGACGGTAAATCTGATATGAAATACACTGAAAGTCATAACAATAAATTTTGTTTTAATTGTAGCATGAAAAATCATATTTCTAAAAACTGTATTCATAAAGATAAGGGAATTAAATGTTTTAAATTTGAAGCTTTTGGTCATAAAGCTTCCGGATTGTTCTAAAAGAAATTCGAAAACAGAAGTCCCTTTAAATGTCAATTTTTAATCGAAATTGAACAAAATGATAATAATTGGTAATTTAATAGTAAAATCATTAATAGGCACTGGGAGTCAAGTAACACTGCTTAGAAAATCTGTTTTTGATAAATTAAATGAAGAATTACGTCCTTCGAATTCTACTTTGACGGGGTTTGGAAAATGCTGAGTAGAACTATTAGGCCATTTTATTAAAGAATGTATTCAAATTGATGACTTTAAGTGTAATGCTGACATTTGTGCAGTGGAAAATGATGTTATGCCTTGTGAGATCATCGTAGGACGTAATGTGTTAATGCAGGGTGAACATCTAATAAATGAAAATGAAGTTATGTTTAGAAATAAATCTCAGTGTATAAAAAAATAAACACTTCTTTTATTCTTCCAGTTGATTTAATTTGTGACGAAACTGAAGTAAATATTGAATCTGATGTTCTAAATATCCTCAGAGATAGGCTGCAACAATTAGTTTTCAGTTATGTACTGTGTAAAAAAAAAAAAAAAGAAAGAAATGAACCTTTCAGTAAAAGATAATGAACCTATATTTCATCAGCCTCGTAGGCTGCCGTTTTCAGAAAAAAGAATTGTTGAAGCTCAAATAGCTGAATGGTTAGCACAAGGAATAGTAGAACCTAGTTTTTCAGAATATTGTAGTCCAGTTGTAATTGTTAAAAAGAAAGAGGGAACACAACGTTTATACATTGATTATAGGAGACTGAAAAAAGTAATAGTAACCCAGGCAGCACGTCTCCAAAAATATACGTATAATTTTGGTGAAATAAGGGTGTGGTAATTTTTGCACGTTACTTTTACGAAATTTATACGAATGAAAAAGGCTGAAGTTACTGTTGACTCTTTATCGTTATTTTCCATACGTTATTTTTACGAAAATTATACGAATCCGAATGTACTGAAAAAACTACCGCCATAATGGTATATTTTATTCGTCACTTTTACGCATATTATACGAATCCGAATGTTCTGAAAGAAACTACTGCCTTTATGGTATATTTCATTCGTCACTTTTACGGATATTATACGAAGTCTAAAAAGATTGAAAATGAAGTTTATTAATTCAAAATATTTAGTGCATTTTTGGCATTTCACTTTGTTTTCCTTTTCCACGAACATGAAAAAAGGGGCATTCATATATGAGGCTAAAATTTTTCTATAAATTGTAACATGCGAGCTAAATCTTTATGTGCATTTTTGCAAAAAATTAATTAAATCTTTAAAGATCTTTAAAGATTAAATTTAAAGATCTTCAAAATAACTTATTTATTTTCTTATATCAAATTTGTTATTTTTATTCATATCAACACTTACATTAATTTACACAATTTAATTTCTTTTATGAAAATCCTATTACCCATTTAACTGGAATAAGCTGTATATTAAATTTGTGTACTTACTGAGTTTAGTACAATACTCGCCTTATTTTATTTAGCAAATGTGGGCAATTAAATTGGAATAAGACTAGCAAATTTTTCATATCGAGGAATAGAATAATAAATAGAGCAGAAGATGCTTGAAAATGTTTAACTTCTTGAACAATAGTAGACCAAAGGATCATTAATTATAATCAAAGATATACTAATATTTTTATTTAATAATAATAATAACTCTACGCAATTGCAAGCTGAATCCTGATATTTTGCATATATTTCAGTTCCTTTAATCTTTGTTATAAAAATCGCAGGCTAACATTTTTTAATTTTGTTTAATGTACAGGAAAAATAATATAGCGATTTTAATAATTTTTATATGAGGAAAAAATAAATAATTATATTTTATATTTTTCCTGAAACAGTTAAAGACATTCTTAATATGGAGATCCACAGAATAAGTACAAGGGTCCAGTTAAATGAACCCAAAATTTACATAGTTAATTTTACGCTAATAAAAATTAACCGGATTTACGAATATACACTGAGCATGCGCATACACAGACATTTCTATTTTTTGTAGAAAAATTGAATTATTACCTTAATAGAGATGCTGTGAATATAAATTTATATAATGCAAAAGTAAGTTTATTTCATATGCTAATTTAAAGGCTTTCATAATATGTTTAATTATAAAGAAAAAAAAAGTGTTGCAATTCTTGTTCACTGACCAATGGCAAGCAGACACTTTCTACTTCCGGTTGTGGCGGGATATTTGTGAAGTCAGCAATGGCGGTCGAAAAGAATGGTAAATTCGCAAAGAATACTGTTTGTTTGTGGATTGGCATTTGTGACTGAATCCATCGATGTTACTAATTATTTGAAGAAAGTAAGTGAATATTTTATATTTTCAGTGTTTAATACTCGTACTTTCTTCACCTATATAAAATTTTATATATAGCATCTGTGTAGGAAATGTGATTTTCCATGTGTTGTTCTTTTGTGTACGTGCCTAATGATTCATTTTCAGGATTTGGTACTGTTAATGACAGAATACCAAATTAATAAATTGAAAAAATTTTGTACTAGTCTGTTTCTTACTGTTTGTGTCACTCCTGTTTGTATGTGTCTCACCTTTTTATAGTTATATTATTTTTACTCAAACGTTTTAATATTTATCTTAAAACATACTGTAATTAAGCAGGAAATAGCTTTTAATGGAAAAAGAAAGGCAATATTAACATGACTAATTGTTCAGAAATCTGTTCTGGAAATATTATTTATTTTATGCCAAAAAATAAAGCATGTAACTTTCATTTATTTATGAAATTCAAAATTTTTTATTTGCTTAGTGTTTTCCCTAAAAATAATTTAATTTCTTATTTTTGAATTTAGTTTTATAAATTTGTCTTAATTTGCTTTAATATATAATCTTTAACTCAAAGATATTGTGCTATTAAAAAGAGAAATTTTATGCGATAGAAACACAGGTACTTTGTTCCAAATCTTGTTCATTTTTTTTTATATATACTGAATTTTCATTCACTTGTAATTACTGAAATATATAAAGTTTCCTTTAAGTCCTTTCATTGAATGCATTTCTCTTTTTGTTTGTTTGATTTTGTGTTTTAAAAGATCTGCCATAAGTTAAAGAAAGAAAATAAATTAAGTAAAATGTTCTTGTTTTACTTTCAGTTTTGAATAAATTTATTACTATTTACTGCAGCTTCAGGTTTCTCTAAACATAATTTTCGAAGTCAAAACTTGATAGTTATGTTGATTATTAGACTTGCATGAAAAAAATTATTGAAAAGTTAGTATTTGATCTAAAATACTTTAAATTATTTGAATTATATTTTACTAAATCATGTATTTGATATAACTAGATAGTTTAAAAAAATGAAAATTGTAAATGTTGCAGAAATGCTTATATAAAACCAAGAAATGTTTATATTTTTGTTGCTTTTTACCTTTGTAAATTAAATATATTATATATATATTACAGTCTGGGGAGTCGGCACCTGCTGAATTATAGTAAATGAGACGTCCAATCTACTAGACCATCAAAGACGCAGATTTGGATTTTTCTATTTCATAGTTATTGAAATCATAATGGTATGTTTCTTTAAATTAGTACTGTTTATGAATGTGACAAAAATAAATTTTGATAAAGCTAAGAAATGATTTATTTTCTATTAATTATGAACTGTAAATAATGTAGCCAGTTTTCTTCATAGTATTTAGTAAACATTTTTTTTTTTTTTTAAAGGGAGGTAAGTCTTATTTATACAATTCTTGCACAGTGAGATACCAAGAAATAAAACATTTCAGGAATTTTCATTCAGTATATCTTGATGTGTAAAATCATGTTGTTCATCGCCATATTACTTTTTCACAGGAAAGTAATTTTATTGATCTAACACATCTGCATAAATCAAACTTTTTTAAGAATGATTACAGTTTCTAAGCTAACTTAAAATTTTCAGATTTAGAAAATATATGTTTGATGTAGCATTAGTTTTCCATGGAATAAAAAAGGTTTTAAAAATGTTCAATTGTTAGAGGGAAATAATAAAACTTAAATGAGATTGTCCTGATATAGTTTCAGCTGGAAATGAAACTGAATTTTCAGATAGTGAAGATGAAATTCTCTGTATTTAAGAATTCTAATAAAACTGATTAATGTAAATCCTATGATTCATGTAGGTATTCTTCTTTTATCAGGACCAGATTCAGAAATGTGTGTCTATATGCATGCATTTTTAAATGTAGGTGCTCGTGTGTGCATGTGTATATTTTTTATGTATGTATGTGTATACTCATACACATATATGCACGTACATGCATATACACATGCTTACATATCTACAGTGGAATCTTGAGATACGAGTTTAATTCGTTTCCAGCATTCAACTGGATATAGCGAATTTCTCGTATCTAGAAACAAGCTTCCCCATTGAAAATAATGGAAAATTCAGTTAACCCGTTTCACACCCCCCAAAAAATATCAACATTTCAATATCAAGTCAATTTTTCCTAATAAATAACACTGGTAAATAATATAACCATAGTTTAACTTTGTTACCAACTTTTAACTCCTTCTCATTAATCCACACCAACAACAGCTTCTCAACATCTAGGAGTACTTTTATGGTGCTTGGAAGCAACGATAATTCCTTTGGCTAAATCAAGTTTCTTAATTTCTTCCTGCTTCTTCAGAATAGTGTAGATTTTTGATGTTGAAAGGCTGCTACTCAAGTGAATGCTCATATTTTGCTCATACTTTCCTCGTATCTCGAGGTTTCATTGTACATTTCTGAATCCCGTCCTAATAACAGAGGAGTACCTTTGCCAGTATTGCAACACAGCTAGAATGAATTATTGTGTTAAATATGTGGAAAATGCATGCTTAAAGTACTGTTATTTTCTAAAAATATTCTGTATGTCTATTTTTTACAAGAAAAAATAGCTAAAAGTTGTTAATTTATTTATTAGTTCAAAGGGGCTTTGTCCCTAAAGGACTATTGTTTTTGTTTTGCATTGGTTCACTATAAATATCCGTTTCACTTTTCAAACTGTTCCCACCAAACGTTAAGAGTCCCTAGTGTGGGATTAATACTCTCTATCTTAGTGCCCTCTATAACTATGTTAGGGTTAACCTGTATAACCTACAAGGATTGCCAGTTTAGGCGAGATATCTAGGTAGTCATCATAATACGTTCCTTATTTTTTATTATTTTTAAATTAAATTGAAAGTAATAAACTAGTTTTCAAGAATCTAGTTAAACTAGATTTGCATTCAACTCTGGTTTATTGTGTTAATGATGTTTTGCTGTAACAAATATGAATTTTTTGTTTAAGTATAATAATTTAAAATGTTTTTTCTAGAGAATGAAGTACTGCCACTAAGTCATATTGGATATGTTGCAAGGTAATTTTCTATTCTACATTAACTCAATATTTATGTCCTGTTACAGATATATTGGCAGAAATAATGAAAACCTGACATTCAAAAAGAAAAATAATAATGTTGAATGTAGTATATTAGATGGTTAACTGCAGTTTGGCAGCTCATTAATAATTAGGCAAGAAAGCAGCTTTAGTTTAGCACTGATTTTAAATACAACTCTCTTAATTTCAAAGGCGATCCTGCACACACAGGTCCTGTTTAATAGAAGGCTCGGCAACGGCCCAGCGGTAAAGTCGCTGAACACTGGTAGTTCGGTTTGACGTTCGAATCCCGCGAAAGGTCTGGCTGCATGGCCGTTTCCATGGTTTTCCCCATGTGTAACATGTATACGAGCCAGTTTCCCTTAGAAAGTCCTTCACGAAAGCATTCCTCACCTTAGGCAGATAGCCCTATTGTGCTATGCAGTAATCAAATAAACCTAAACCAAACCTGTTACAGATGTGTTTTTATGTTACTAAAATAGTAAAACTTAAAACTAAACTGGATGGCACAAACAGCCCTTAGACAGCCATGGCCTTGATATCTACTTTCTAGATGGTGAGCTCTGTGGTGTTTGTGCACAAGTGGTCAGCTTGTTGCAGGCCCCCCAGTATTCAGCCCCCAATGGAACTTGGTACTAATTTTATCGACCCACTCAAGGGATGAAAGGCTGTTTCAACCTTGCCCAGCCTGGGAATCAAACACCAGACCTCTGGTGCTGCTGCGTGACGTACTAGCCACTGTGCTGCCGAGCCTCCCTAAAATTCATGAAAATTATAAAAAAAAATTAAAAATATCAGGGTACTTTTCCGTTTCGCCGGCACAAATCTTGCCAAGCAGACTTTATTGGCGACAACACGCAGTATACACATAAAAAATGTTAACAAATGTTAGTTCTAAGAAATTTATATTTTAAAGGCATAAACATTTTAATATGGTTTAAAATTTTGTAAAATGATAATAAATAAAGACAATAAATTTGTAGAAAGACATTAATTTGTGTTTGTAAAAAGAGATTAATTTAAGAATTTACTATGCTTTCATGGTACAACATTCTGATTCGCCATTTTATATCACGTGACCCCAAGTGATCTCATGTTAAACTACGCTAATTCTCTCAGTAATTATCTACATTAATTTCAAGTTAAATCTTAATTTGGAATACAAGTTTAAATGCAAGAATTATTTCATTTCGTATGAATAGCTTACTCAGAAATTATGTAACATAACATGTGCTTTACTTTGCTAGTGCATTCTCATTAGAATTGATGAATTTAACCCTTGATTTTGCCTTTTCTATATTTTTGGGTGAGCGTGTGATTGCATACTAATTAATTTAATTACCGTGAATGGCCTTAGGACATAAAATTGAACTATCTGGTAAAAATTCTATGTCATTGTATCCCAGTATTGAGAGAAACATTCGATCTGATAGAAATAGCTGCGACGTGTTTTGAAAATGAAACGTAAAAGGTTACCAGCAAGGATATTCTGTTTGGCATAGGTTGTACCATTTTGGGCAACTTTATCGCTTGCACCGGAAAAATGGAAAAGTACCAATATTGGTTTGACAAAGGTAACAGGGTTCGTAGCAGCCCTTACAAGTGCTTATAAGTCCTTATATTTGAAAATAAAATATAAAAGCCCTTATAGGTGCTTACTTTTTCTTTAAAGCCCTTTATTTTTTTGTTTTTTGTTTTTAGTGCTTATTTTTTGCTTTTAGTGCTTTTTTTTAATGAGCGTGCATTTTTTTCCCGTACTGAAGCCGAAACTAAATAAACAAATTTTCTTTCTTATATGCAATGTCAGATGGTGAATCATACTCCCGGAAATTGCTTTCCCCTCTTTCTCTACATTACCGTAACCTACGGTGCACGCGAGAGTACAGACATGTGCACATCGTTCTATTGGTCAAAAAACTGTGAAAATGGTAGAAAATTCCGTTACATTCGGTATTCCTTTCCTCCCACCCAAATACTACACATGTTTGAATTTCTATCAAGATTTTAATAATTTGCATTCTCGTTCTGCGTGGTCAGTTCATATTCATATTTATTATGATCGTTATGCTTATATTATGAGTATATGCATGAATATTTATAATAATATAGTTGCAGTAACTGCTGAAGTATAGATAAACTTCCAAAAATGGGTGTGTTTTTACACAGATTAGCTTTCTAGGGAATAATATTCGGAATGGCTTAAATAAAAGGAAGGTAATCGAATAGTCAAAATAATTTCTTTCCCCCCCAATACATTATACAGTACGGAGGTTGGGAGGTTCTCCACTTTCTCCGCAAAATCTCTAATATTGAAGCAGCGGATCCCCCCCCCCCCCGCACTGTCCAATCTGGATTGAATAGGACTAAAAGTTTTTGCGGTCTACCCAACCTAAGCGAAGATTGATTCTATTCCGGAAATTTAACGCAGTCTGTTGAAAATTAGAATCAGAAACACCCCAAATTAGTAAGTCTTTCTTTTCCTTTATTTAGTTCTTTACTCTCCGAATACCAGCAGCTGTTGATTCCGATTGCGTAATATCACATGTGGAAGAATTACGCCGCATGTATTGCACAATAACATTTGCGGTATTTTGCAGAGATAATTAATTTTGATGTTCCGTCTGAGATTTGTTTATGAACACTTAAAAGAGTTTTTCTGTGCTTTCTAAGTAGAATATTTCTCAGTTCCGTTGGTCTGTTTTTATATGATGCACATATCGAAATGTCAAAATCATTTATTTAGCCGAGAAATCTAAAGAACGGCTACTATCTCCCCCCCCTCCTCTTTTTCCAGTTACTATCCGGAATATTTGGCAATTTCCGAGTATGCGGGTTAGTTAAGCTTTTACTGTTAAAGGATGACTGCATGAAGCAATTTCCTGTCTTCTGATTTCAGAAATGTGCCTCTTTTTTACTTAAATTACTTTGCTTGGAATCTATGTTAAGGGAAAACTGTTATGCAATGAAAATTTAGAAATTGTTCAGAATTTTGATTTAAGTTAAATTATTTAAATATTAATATGAGTGGAAAAATAAATAGTATTTTTTATTAAGTGCCAAATGAATACAATTGATATGGCTTATTGTTATTTATTTTCTATATTTTGAACTGAAATTTCATCATTAAATCTTGTAATATAGTTTAGTTCTGCATAGTTTTTTTTTTTTCTCATTGTAAACAAATTCTGTAAATTGAACTGTCATTTAAAATTAAAAAAAAAAAAAAAAGTTAATTGTTTTTCATGGTCTAATAAATCCATGGTCTTCCATTTTCTTAATAAATATTGCATTGCTTATATTTTAAATTACAAGTCTAATTTTTCTTTTAAGATTATGCAGTTGTGTATAATATAATTAGACAGGTGCTTATTTTTTCCCTAAAATGTGCTTGAAAAGTGCTTATAGATGCTTATTTTTTTTTAACTAAAATGTGGCTATGAACCCTGGGTAAGATGTAATTGAATTTAATAAGTTGGAAATACTGTCTGTCTTTTATTGAGTTAAAAAATAATTTTAAAAAAAAATTACTTTTTTCAGTTTTTCATGTTATTTGTTTAATGTTATTGCAATCTGATTTATCATATTTAGTCACATATTCCATCCCTCTTTGCACTATAGTATATAATTCAAAGGAAGTTTCAGCAATATTTTTTTTTACCAGTACACATTTTTACTATAACTCTGTTTCTAAATCATATCCTGAAAAATTAAGGAGTAAAGTACACAAAGAAGGAAAATATCCAAGTAAATAATGGCATTTAGTGTTGTTTATGTGTAATATTTGTACTAGATTGTAAAAGTTCTAAAATTCTATTAGCTTTTATTCTTTTTTAAACTGAGATGCTTCTTTGCACCCAAATGGTTAAAGCCTTCCAGAACTGGTACTTTGATCTAACTTCTATTCCTAATAAATAATCCAGCTGCATACAGTTTACTCAATTTCTGCCATGTGTAAGGTAAACAGTATTAGCTTTTTTAAATATATCTTTTACAACTATTCCATCAGGTAGATTTCTTTCATATTTTGCCTTAATTGAGTCATTCTGCTAATTAAGAATTTATTAAAGTTAATATGTTATGTTAAGTTTTTGTGAGTATAATTCATTTTAAGTATGTGCAAGCAAATGCATACATTAACAGTTACGTAGAATTATGTTTTGGGTATCAAATTCAGAAATTTTTAGGCTGTTTTTAGAAGATTTATTAATGATTTATACCATATTCATATTGGTAAAAACATTCTGTGGCTTTTATATCAGAGTATATATTTTAAAATAGCTGCATGATATGGTAGAGGTAAAAAGCTTCATGTGGATCATAAATTAATATTACGTGGGAATTTTTCATTTATTTAATAAAGAAAATATTCAAGCCACAATTAAATTTTTTTCAGTGGATTATTTGCAGCAAATATTTCCTGCAACAGAAGTGACAATTTTTATTTTGCCAAGACAGGAAATTTAGTTAGTGAAAGCAGTAACCCTATTTTGGGATGTTAAATAGGAAAGCAAATTTTTTAATTTAAATTGATTTTTGAAGGAAGACTTCATTTAGTCTTGCTATCATTCTACGTGGCTTTTAACATTTTTATGGTATTTATAATTTTATTGTTATTCAGCTTTCTGTTTGCTTAGAATGCACATGCATGTAGACTTGAAATATTTTATATTGCAAACTGAGATGCCATTGTTATCATAATTAAAGATTTGTGTTCTGATTTTGGAGGAATTTACTGATAATACTTTTGATTGTGTAGTGGTTTATTGAAATGTGTAAAACAGCCTGTCAATGCATATACATATGTTAATGACATGTATATGTTTATGAAGTATTCTGTTATATGTATATAGTGTTGTGATTAGTTTTCTGCTTACTCTTTTTTTAAGAAAAAGTTATCTGTAAGAAAGCGAATATTCTTTACTATATGTAGGAGTAAAATTGGAAAGGCTAATGCAATATAATTAATACAAAATTAAGTTTTTTCTCGTGTACTTAAATACAAACATAGCCATTAGACTTTCTTAACCTTGCATTTCTAAACAAATCTTTAGGTATTTTTTACTTGAAATTATAGGCATTGTGTAAGGTATATAATTGAAGTTTACTGTGTGATAGTATGAACTTAAATTTTTAATTACTGAAATGTAAATTTTTAAATATGAAATACTTCGTGCATTTTATATGCATCTTTTAATACTTCAACTATATTTAAAAACTGAAAACATATGAAGTGTGAAATTATTAAAAATTTTTCTTTTTCTTGTTTAGGAGCTGTTCTCAAAACATTGGGTGACAAAGAATTCACTTTTACAAAAATCGAGCAGGATATTAAAGACAGCGAACTGTAGAACAAATATGGCAAAGCTGATTGCAATCTATGTTGAATTTTATTATTGAAAAAAATTATGCTCTTCAGATTTAATGTGAGTTTTTATTGTTTAACAATAATTGCAGTTTTCGAATACCTGTAAAATAAACCTAATTCTTAAATTAATTTCATGTTTATTTCTTTTGCAAGTATTACAGTTCATAATGCTTCAAACAACTTGAAATTTGATACTTGTTAATTTATGTGGGATATGTTCATAATAATTTTATAATTTAAATAACTCATTGTCATCATATGAGTATAATCTAAAATGCACAGCATTTGACAACAAATTAATCAAAAATTAGCCAACTTCTAATTGCTTTCTTTTGTCCAGTTGCCTCCTTTTAAATCATTTAATACCATAAAGCTATTTGATGAAAAAAAATAATTGGTATGTCCACATGAACATGTACATTTATAATGATGTTATAGAAAACGTCACATGAGATAAATATTAAAAAATTCAATATTCCTAAACAAATTAACTTTTTAAAATTTTATCTGGTATATAAGATAAAATAAAGAACATATTTAGGTAATTTTGAATTTGCATAATTTTATGAACGTATTTATGAAATTAACAGTTACATTGTAAAAGGGAACTTTTTAAAAATGCCTCAATAAAGCATTTCTTTTGTAGAGGTGAACTTTTAGTACTGATCTAATATATTTATAAGATTTTAAACTGAGAATGCATTGCAAGATTGGCTGATAAATGTAAAATTTTTACATATCATAATTATGTCTGTAATTAAAACAGAAGTTACTCGATTAACTTACATGCAAATTAATATTTTCTTTAACATATTTTGGATAAACTTAATTTTAATAAATAAATATGTATATATTTGTGTATTATCTGAAGATATGAATGCAATATTTGTGACATTAAACATTCATCTTCAAGGAAAATAAAGTCAACTTCGTAACTAATGGAAAAGGTAAGTTTTCTACAATTTCCTGGGCTATATTTAACAATTTTAAAATTTAGCACACTCATTCAAATAATCTAAATGTATGATGTTTACTGAATTTGGTAATTAACTATATTGTACTTTAGATATAAATTAATGTAGATATTCCCCGTATTTTATGGTACAAAAACTTATATATTTGATAATAATTGACCTAAATCTTCCCTATGTTTTCTTTGCATATGCGAATGACTTTGGTAAAAATTTAGTCCGATGTCTTCTCTTTACTGTGTATAAGTGCACATTTTTGGTAAAAAATGTGCATAAATCTCCAATTACCTTATTTACTGCATTTTTCATAAAATGTGCTTAAGAAATAATATTATTTTTTTGCAAAAAATATTTTTATCTCATATTTTTATGCAAAACAAAAAATATGAGATTTGCAAAAAATATAAATTTTTCAATCCATGCAAAAATGTTCTGCATATTATGATTAAAAGATAAAATGCTAATTTGATATCAAATTTTTACATATCCACCTTTTAGGTATGTACAGCAATATGGAATATATATAACTGGAAAATTTAAATGCAAAAAAAAATAATTTCTATTCAAAAATTACGTAACACTTAAAGGCTGAAAATCACTTTTAATATTTCATTTCAAAGTGACTGCAAAATATACAATAAATTTTGTAAACCTGAGTTTTATGTTTTAAATCAATTAATGCTATCGTTCATTTGCATGGCATAAGAAAATGTCCTTCGGAAAAGCAAATAATTTATTTAAAGTGTTATTTAGTAATAATGAATTTAGTAAACAACTGTTTGCTACAGTTGTTTACTAAATTTAAATTTATGAAGTGAATTTAGCAAATTGATGTTTATGAAATTTATTGCATATTTTGTATTTGCTTTGAAATGAAATATTAAAAGTGATTTTCAGCCTTTAAGTGTTATGTAATTTTTGAATAGAATTCCCCCCCCATTTTAGTGCATTTAAATTTTCGTTATAGATATTCCATTTCGCTGTACATAACTAAAAGGCAGATATGTGAGAATTTGATATAAAAATGACATTTTACCTTTTAATCATAACATGCAGAAAGTTTTTGCATAGATTTATATAAAAAATATGAGATTAAAATAAGTACATTTTACGAAAAATGCAGTGAAAAGGTAACTGGAGATTTATGCAAATTTTTTACCAAAAAATGTGCATTTATACACAGTAAAGTGGAGAAGACATCGGATTACATTTTTACCAGTCATTCGCATATGCAAAGAAAACATAGGGAAAATTTAGGTCAATTACTATCAAATATATACGTTTTTGTACCGTAAAATACGGGAAATATCTACCTTAATTTTTACCTAATATATACATTTATATACAGTAAAAAATCGGGAAAATTTACGTAAATTTTTACCAAATATTTACGCATACGTGAAGCAAAAAATTGAGATTAACGTATATGCGATAAATATACATAAATTTTTACTAAAAATATACGTAAATCCCAGAAATTTACGTATATTATATGTAAAAGTTGCGGAACAGCAGTCTCTCGCGTAAATATACCTAAATTTTATGCAAAATTTACGTATAGTATAACGTAAAAATATGCTTAAATATATAGTAATTGCAACTGGACACTTTTTATGATATTTTTTACATTCAACTTGAACGTTTTTTATACGAAAGGCCATTCGTAAATTGCACGTATTTTTCTCGTGCAATTTACGAATGCATGCTGCCTGGGAAAAATCAGGTTTCCACTTCCATTAATTGAAGATATTTTAGATCGGGTACAGGGATCACATACGTTTAGTATGATTGATCTTAAAAATGGAATGACGTCCATGTTGACGTAAGCAAGAATAGCAGGAAGTATACATAATTTGTAACACACGAAGGTCAATATCAATTTCTTAAAGTTCCTTTTGGTCTATGCAATTCTCTGGCTGTATTTCAGAGGTATATAAAACCCTTTTTTGACCTTTAATTAGTGAGGGTATTGTTTTGCCATATATGGATGACGTAATAATAATCTTGTCGTCCTCCCTTGAAGAAGGAATTGAACGGCTTGAATGGCTCTTAAATCTTGTTAGCAAATATGTGCTCGAGATTAATTTTAAGAAATCTCATTTTTTGAAGAAGCGAATCGAATTCTTGGGTCATGTTATCGAAGAAGGTAGAATTTTTCTATCCACTTTAAAAGCAAAAGCGGTCCTTAATTTCCCAGAACCAGCTAATTTGAAACAAATTCATAGTTTTCTTGGACTCACTGGATATTTCAGGAAATTTATTGCAAAATATTCCATTATTGCTAAGCCTTTGAGTGATCTCTTGAAAAAAGGTCGTAAATTTAAATTTGACAAGGAGGAAAGAAATTCTTTTAATCGGTTAAAGCTGAAAAGCCTGTCTTAGGAAACAATAACCACTGTTATGAGACTGAATTGCACACTGACGCTCTAGCTTAGAGGGATATGGAGCAATTTTAATATGTCTCCAAACGATAATAGTTTCCACCTTACCTATTTCATGAGTAAAAAAGACCACAGATGCAGAAAAGAAATACTCTAGTTACAAGCTTGAAGCTCTAGCAATCATAGAAGCATTAAAGAAATTCCGTGTGTACCTATTGGAAATTCCTTTAAAATTGTTACTGACCGTTCTGTGTTTGAAAAGACTATGTCGAAAACATGACTTATCAACTCATATTGCTCGTTGGGCTTTATTACTACAAGAATTTAGTTATGTGATTGAGCATCACTCTGGTGCTAGGATGGCTCATGTTGAGGCCCTAAGTAGATATACCACTAATATTCTTTGTGTTTCAGTAGATAACATCTTACCAAAGTAAAAATCGGCCATCGGATAAGGATAACGGAATAAAAGTGATTAAAGAATTAATTAAATTTCTAGTTATGAAGATTACTGCGACAGAAATTGAATTTTATTTAAATTTGTTGATGGTAAAGAATTAGTGGTTGTGCCTGAAAGTATGCAAATAGAAATAATAAGAAAAGCTCATGAGAAAGCACATTCAGGAGTCAAATATACTGAGAAAAAACATTGAGCAGTATTATTTTATCCCTAAACTAAGATGGAAAGTAGAAAATATCATATCAAATTGATTCATAGTATTCTTGTTAATTATAAGACAGGAAAGAAAGGTCTCTTACATCCATTGCAGAAAGAAGATGTGCCGTTAAAAACATATCATTTAGATTACCCTGGGCCTTTGGAGAGTACACATAAAAATTTTAAGTACATTTTAGTGGTTATTGATGCATTTACTAAATTTTGTATGGATTTATCAGACGAAGTCCACAACATCTGCTGAAACCATAGTGAAGTTGGAGATAAAAAAGGCTGCATTTGGCAGTCCTTCTCAAATACTTTCGGATAGAGGTACAGCATTCACCTCCAGTGAATTTTCTGATGATTACTGTTCTAAAGAGAACATTAAGCATTATCTAATTAATACCGGCTTGCCTAGAGCCAACGGTCAAGTCAAACGTATAAATCAGACTATATCAGTTCTTTCAAAGTTATCTTTAGAAAATCTGGCTCAGTGGTACAAACACACAAATGAACTGCAGCAGGATATTAACTCAACATACCAGTGAAATATAGATACCACACCCTTTGAATTGCTGTTTGGGACAAAAAAGAATGCTAAAGGTATTAATCAGTTGATTGAAATGACCGAAGCTGAATTTCAAGCGAATTTTGAATTTTTATTCTCTTTTAAGAGAAGAACTTAGAAAACATGCAAAGCAACAGCTATTTAAAATTCAAGAAGAAAATAGGAAGACATACAATTTAAGGAGAAGAGAACCAAGACCTTACAAAATCGAGGATTTGGTAGCTATAAAAAGAACACAGTTTGGTCCACATATGAAATTAAAACCAAAATATCTTGGATCGTACAGAATAACTAAAGTTAAAGGAGGGAAGTAAAAGAAGGAAGTCACAAAGGTCCCAACTGTATAACAACATATGCTGAACTTCTAAAATCATGGAACAATTAATTGCTAGGACAAAGAGAAGGAAATTGAATGAAAAAAAAAAGTAAATTATATATTTTTGTAGAAATACAAAAAACTGAAAAAAAAAAAAAAAAAAAAAAAAAAACATACATAGATGAATGAGGCTCTTAAGACAAAAGGAAAAAAATTTAATGACAAAAAGAAAGACGCCTAAAGAAGAACAAGAGGATGCCTAAAGACAAAGAAACTGCGGTTAAAGACGTTAACTACTGTTTCTATGGCAGATGAAGAAGACGATGTTTGTACATTTTCACATTCTTGAAAACTGAAAGACAATCAGGACTCTAAAAATATTTAACTTTTATTTTTATTATCTTTCTTGTTTTGCTTTTGTCTCTTCTTTGTATTTGCAGTGTCGCCTGGAGGACCAAACAAGTGCAGGACGGCCAAATGATCTAATGTCAATGATGAATACCAGATAGCGTACAGATTGCTCATCATATTATTTTTTTAATGTTTTATTTTTTGCTTTGTTAGTTGGCAATTAGATGAGTTGGACTCAAGATGCAGTAAAAGAACGATGACAATAAAGACCTAAATAAAAATGTATTGAAGAAGTATATTCAGTTTATAACTAACTTATTTGTTAAAAATGTAAATACGTTAAATGTAATTAAACATGCTGTCCTTTCAAGTAGTTTCTTAGATGTCTTTTTTAAGAAGGTATTACCACATTACCATTATTTTAATGAAACTTATCAATGTTTAAAAAAATAGTCAAAAAATTGCCAGCTCTTGGAATTCTAACCATTATCTTCATCATGTACGCTCTCATAATCAGAAAGGCCACTCTTTTCTGATAATTCTAATATTTTGGCATCAGTCAATTTTTTTAATTTCTTTTCTTGGGCTGTGAACATCCTGCCCATATTGGTACTGTCCACAATTTTTAAAAGTGCATATAAAAATAAATATATAAAATTTAAAAAATAACAAAAAAACCACATAAGCCAAAAAAAAAAAAAAATCCCTAACATGCCTAAACAACCTCGTTGTTCAACTTTCAGCACACTAAAAATAATGCATGTAGCTTATGATACTCGGACCAGCATCCCACAGTGATGTCATTGTAATGCACCAGCAAAACAATGGAAGTGAAAGTGCTAATACAGAAAGCAGCACACTCATAAACAAAGTAGGAAAAAAGAATAGGGGACGGAATAATTTTTTTTTTTTTTTTTCCAGCAGACATAAGAAGTCTGAAGATAGAAATGACTTTGAAGAACCTATTCTAAAGTTCCAGATTACAGTTTCCCCCCCCCCCAAGAAAATCTATTATTAATAATTAAAAATCAGCCCAAAATAAGGATAACGGAATAAAAGAGATTAAAGAATTACTTAAAATTTCTAGTTATGAAGATTACTGCGACAGAAATGGAATTTTATTTAAATTTGTTGATGGTAAAGAATTAATGGTTGTGCCTGAAAGTATGCAAATAGAAATAATAAGAAAAGCTCATGAGAAAGCACATCCCTAAGTCAAATATACCCAGAGAAACATCGAGCAGTATTATTTTATCCCTAAACTAAGACGGAAAGTAGAAAATATCATATCAAATTGTGTTCATTGTATTCTTGTTACCGTATTTAACGGCATATATGACACACCCTTATTTAGAAGGCCACACACAAGGAAAAAGCTCCAATAGTACGCGTGATAGCGCGGCACCCCAATAACTTAAAATGTGCTTTCTTTTAGTTCTCACGTTTCGTAAAAGCCAAATAAACAATAATTGAATGCAATTACCAAACATATTTTTATTAAGGAAAATTAACAAACGGCAAGCTATTTTGAACATGATATGTAATTTCAATAATGAATAAATGAATGAAAGGCAAGCAATCAAACTTAACACAAAATAAAGCAGAAACAAGAAAAAACACAGATTCAAGGAAAATGTTGCCTATCATGAAATTTGACTTTAATCACTTTCAAAACCATAAAAATCCTTTTCACTATCATCATCATCGAAAACGAGAATATCGTCAACACTACTGTTTCTGTCATCACTAGTATCACCTTCTTCGAATAATGCGTCGTCTTCTGTTCCGTCAAGAGCACTTCTTAAAGGACTTAACAATTACTTCAGTCTTTATGTCCTCCCAAGATCTTTTTAACCACTCGCACACTTGTGAAATGAGTCAAAGAAAGTCTATGTAAAGAAGGAAAGGCTTCATAGACATAATGTGACCATCGAACCTGTTCAAACTTCGACATCAGCTTCAAGCTTTGGCGCTTTTTGGCAACTGATATTTCTCGCATGCGCAAAATAATGATGGCAGATGTAGAAAAAGTTACGTGTGTCTAGACCTTTATCCAGGCTAAAAATAGCATTCCGTATTGAAAGTTAATCTGTGTCCTTCACGTATAAGACGCAGGTAACGTTTTTGAGACCAAATTTAGGAAAAAAAGTGCGTCTTATATGCCGTCGAATACGGTAATTATAAGACAGGAAAGAAAAATCCCTTACATCCATTGCAGAAAGAAAATTACAAATTTCTGCAATGTTTTTTCCATTTAATTTCTCAGATGCCTTAAAAAAAAAAAAAAAAAAAAAAAAAAAAAAAAAAAGCTGTTCCTCAAATTTTGCACAGCTATATATTCAAAGCGAAATTTAAAATAAACTTACTCAGTTTGAATAATTAGAAATTGACGAATAAGTAAAAATATTTACAGTAACTACTATTTTAAATCATTTAACTAACCACTTACCTCGGAACAGTCAACCAAGTTTTTGATAATCTGTGTATTGAATTACTCTGAAGCGCAGCTGTTATTGCTTTCAAGGATGAGAAATTCTTTAGCAACCTGAGCTCCTGTAAGTAAGTTAAATAATTTTAACTAAAATGACAATCTGGTACTATTCCTTTAACAAATGCAAATTTAAGCAAACTGTATTAGATAATTTAATTAAACATTATTAATTTAAAGAAACAGTATTACATGATCTGCATGGCACAGTTTAACTTATCATCACTATTTACAAATTGTTCCATAAATTTCATTTCCCAATTTAACAATATACAGTGGCTCCCAAAAGTGTTTGTACACTTATGATTTTTATTGAAATAGGGCTCTATCCATTAATTAAAAGTAAACTTTCCGAATGAGATCTTAATAATAAGATCTATAATCTGTTCGTAACAAAATTACATGAAATATTTTTAAAATATAGCGAAACTTTATTTTTAAGAAATTAATAATCAAAAAATGACAAACATTTTACCTCACAAAAGTCTTCGTACACTTAAAAAATCTTGACATATTAGTAAATATTTTCATTTTTCATTAAATTGATATTAGTAGGATATCCTTTAGCATCCACGAGAGCTTTTAAACGTCTGGGAATAGATTTTACTAGTTTTTTTTGTAATTTCTGTACCAATGTTCATCCATTCCTACATTACGACTGTTTTGAGCTTGCTTTTCGTTTTGGTGTCGTGTTTTCGTACTTTAACCTCCAGTTCTTTCCAAATGTGTTCTATGGGGTTTAAATCTGAAGACTGAGGTGGTGTTTTCAAAACCTGTGGACAATTATAGAGACACCACAGGTGACCATAGAGAGCCGCATGCTTAGGATCGTTATGATGATAAAAATAAAATTGTTTCCAATACCCAAATTTTGGGCTGATAATTTTAAATTATCTCTTAAAATATTTAAATAAAGAGAATGATTCATTATGCCATCAATAAATACGAAATTACCTAGTCCTGATGCTGCCATGCACCCCCACACAAGAACACCTCCACCGCCATGCATGCTTAACTGTTCCAACTAAGTTCTTAGAATACAGTTCCTCATTTTTTTCTTCTCCATACAGTTATTCGACCATAGGAATCACAAATGTTAAATTTGCTTTCGTCAGCAAATAGGATATTATTCCAGTACGCTTCGGGTGTATTTATCACTGATTTTGCGAATGAAAGCTTAAGCTTTCTGTTTTTCTCACTAACAAAAATTTTTTTACAGGCAGGATGCCCATGTAATCCAGCTTCTCTGAGAACTCGTCGAACAGTTTCAGGAGATATCAAAGTAGAAAACTTTGCATTAAATTCTGCAGAAACTTTTACAGCACTCAAATGTGGGTTTTTCACAAATTTTCTAACAATAAATCTCTCATCACGTTTAGTTAACTTTCTCGGTCAACCTTTTCTTACTTTGTTTTCAACCTGATTTTCTTCTTTAAAGTGTTTTATCACATATTGCACTGTAGAATGGGATAAATTATCTAATTTAGTGATATTTCGAATTGATTTACCACTACTATGGTGAAAAATTATCAATTTTTGAATGCTGTCTGTAATTTCTTTACGTCTGCGACCCATTTTTCAATAATAAATAGAATATTATGAGTAAACATTACAAAATTAAAGCAAATAATTTTTTAAATGCTACCATAATGCAAAAATTAAAAAAAGAGGCAAACGATAATTCTAATTTTGATTTTATCCAAAAATATTTGTGTACGAAGACTTACAAAGACTTTTGTGAGATAAAATGTTTGTCATTTTTTATTATTAATTTCTTAAAAATAAAGTTTCGCTATATTTAAAATATGTTTCATGTAATTTTGTTATGAATAGATTATAGATCTTATTATTAAAATCTCATTCAGAAAGTTTAATTAATGGACAGAGCCCTATTTCAACAAAATTCATAAGTGTACGAACACTTTTGGGAGCCACTGTAAATATACATCGCAAGCTTAAGAAAGTGAAAAATGTTTTTAAATGCTAATGTTATTTCCTTAAGCATTTAAACCATTTCGACAAAGATATATACAACAAAAGTAAAATATTTGAAGGAAGAAAAACATGAACTCAAAATGCATTTTTCAAATAACTCAGTATTTCAATATAAAACAAAATTGCACACACATACAAGAAAAGACAGGAAGGCTCATCAAGAAATATTACTTACATGGGCAATGTTTATCCATTTTATAATGATCTTTGAACGCATGTTGGCTTTTAAAGACAGGTCTGATAAAATAGTACTAATAACACGCAATGAAACAGCATTGAATTGTGTTACTGTAGCAGTAACTGTTGATGGAGTTACACTCCAGCCACAAGCCTTATCTCTTCTAGACCAAACGGAGCCTAGACACTGATGTGGTATTAACTTCTTGAACAATTCCTAAAGTAACAATGGCAGATGTGACAAAAATTAATCAAACTAAATGGAAAGGGAAAAGCTTACCAAATTATTGCATAAATACATTATTATAAAGAAAAAGAAAAATATTCCTGCTAGCGATAAGAAAACATCAGTGATATAAATTCATCAAAATAAATGATATGGAGGGAAACAGTTACTTTGTACATGAATTTATACAAAATATTAAATGAATATGCAGTATTAATTTGCAAGCATACCATTTTTTTTTACTTCAACTGTAAATTCATTACAATCATTTTTACATACTTCTGCCGATTATCAATCTTCAGTACTTGCAATGTAGTTAAGCCCTTGGAAAGCATGGTTTTGAGGAATGCAGTTTTGTACATCAACAAGTTATCTTATTTGCTTCCATTTAATATGCACAAAACTACAATTTCATTTATACATGGGATGCCCCCAGCAGTTGTTTATTGTACTGGCAGGGATCTATATTCTGGTAGTCTCAGCAGGTGGGATAAAAACACAAGACTGGGGGTTCCACGTGACATGTGGGTGTAGCAGTGTGTACTCGATTTTGGTCTTCAAATGGCCTACAGGTTAAGTTTGTATAATTTTTATGTTAGATCATGGTAGATATTCTGCAGGCAAGCTGCTCTTTACAAGAGAACAGCTATGTGCACATCTGGCATTTTGAAAGCAAGTCAATGTAACCAAATATGTGCACATTACGAAACTCACTTCAGAACAAATGAATTTGTCAAATGCCTGCTGGCATTAGCTCTGGGTAGCAGTTATGGCATCAGCTCCAGGCAGGAATTGTCAGCAATTTTATAGCATTTCCATTGAATGAAAAGGAAACTAAAGAAATTTTACAAATTGCAAAAGCAACTGGCAACAAAGAATTTTTATATCTGACACAAGGATGATGATAAAAAAATGGCGAATGAAGAAATGGATGAACTTATAACACCAGCTGACAGTGAAAGCAGAGTGAAGAAGACAAAGCAACTAATAGGAAGCCGAAGAATTCCATTAAAAAAGGCAAAAAAAAAAAAAAAAAAAAACTATCAGCTTTTGCACTGGAGACTCATAAAATGAAGAAAGAAAACACTTTATGAGAAGTATTGAAAAATTCTACACTCTTTATGGTGAAACTTTTAAAAAGTTCCATTATTCTGTCCCAAGGAAAAATCAGCAGCATTTAAAATAAATAACTGTATCATGCAACTATTTATTAAGAAGTAATCAAAATAGTTTCAATTAACATTTGGCCACCCAAGCTGTTTGTAAGTTTTTATTGCATGTATTACATGATAAGTCTCTTAATTCTAAATCAAATGATATTTGAAATGTAATAACTGTTCAATTAGAATCAAGCATATAGGCAGAAGCCCTCCTGTAAGTCCTTGCAATGTTATGGATGATTCCGGAAAATATATTTTGAAGCCCTAGGATCAGTTTTTCTTGATTTGTTTGGTTTAGTTTATTTGATTATGGCCAAACACTAACTGGCTATCTGCTAAGGTAGAGGTGCACAACCTTGTGCTTGCTGATCGTTTTGTATGTGCTCGCTAGCTCGATTAGGTACTATGAAAAAAAATATATTTTTAAATAAGCATTCATTTATATTTCTTACTTGTTAAAATATGGTAAGCATTTATAGTCATTAGAGATATCTTGCAAGATGTTATAAAATAACTGATTGCTGACTGATGAGCTTGATAGCGAACATGGAATCTTATTGCTTCATTCCAATGTCAGATGGCTCAGCAGGGGAAAAGTACTTCAACAATTTGTAGAACTTCTTTCGCCAATAAAGCAGTTTTGGGAATTCGGTAACGAAAGTTATAAAGAATTGGATGCTAATAATAGGTTATTCGATCTGTATTTTCTCACAGATATATCAGCTAAACTGAACAAACTGAAGGAAGATCTCCAAACAAAAGCAAAAAACCCTTTTCAATGGACCGGAAATGTAACTGCTTTTCAGATAAAGTTAAATTTGTGGATAAATCAGTTGAAAGAAAAATATTTCACCCATTTTTAGAATTTATCTAGCTATATTAATAACCACAAGGCAACTGAAATACTCGGAAAATCTAAATGCACTGAAAAATAATTTTGAACTCTTCTCTGATTTCCATAAAGTTTAACCAATATTATTATTGATCTCAAACTCATTTGCCGAAATTAATATTTCAGTTGTATCACATTAGATTGGAAATATGTTTAACAAAAATGTTAATGTTTCGGAAATGTGCTCGCGATAGGTCAAAGGTTGGGCTCCACTGTGCTAAGGGGGGAAAATGCTTTCATGGAGGACTTTATAAGAGAAACTGGCTTGTATACACAGGAAAAAAAACATGAAAACACTGATGCAGCCAGCTCATTCTCTGGGATTTGAGCCCCAGACCAAGCTACCAATGTTCAGCAAATTTCCCACTATGGTTTTTCTTGAAGCTTCCGGAAGTACTTGGGCAACCCTATAAAAGTCAGCTGAAGAGAGTTTGAGGGTTGATTTATTCACTTAAGGTTCAGAATCATGCAGCTGTATTGACTTCCTGCTCAGTGATCGCTGTTTTATAATTCTGAGTAATTTGCAACAACCTTCCATCTTAAGGGGAATTGTCTGCATGTGTTTTTCCTCCTTGAGCTATTTACGGATATTTACCTAAGTGTATAACCTGTTCTTTATTTCAATAAAGCACCTATTTCTTCCTGTTCATTGATATAGTATTAACATCCCTCAGAACACATAGCATGCAAAAATTGGTATTAGAATTTTAAGTCACTTTCAAATCGTATTATAAGGAAGATGTAAAGGCAGAAGATGTAAAGGGCAGCTGAAAGCCACTGTGGACAAGGATTGCTGCCAGCAAGGAAAAAGCTGCCAAGATAAGACAGGATACAGCTACAAACGTTGAATGACTGCCAATTTTTTTACAGAGTAAAGAATTAAATACAAGGGAATGCTGCTGAAATGATGTTTAGTATTTCTGCTGTTGAAAGGAAAACTACAAGTGATATTAATAAGAAAATTCAGGACATGGAAGAAAAGGTTACAAAAGATGACTTCAGAAATCAAGAATGTAAAAAAAAAAAAAAGAACACCTTCCAATAATCAATAAATCGCCAATGTCACTGAAGTAATTTCTGCAGTTAATGGCACTCAGAAAAGAAATACAAAAACTAAAGAAAAATTTCTGGAGACAGCTTATTCAATGAAAAACACATGGACTCAGCCTTCTTTGACAGTCAGTCAAGATCAGGTTTCTGTGAAGAAATGACATGAGGTTTCAGTCATCCTGTCCCATAATCAAGCTCTCAACATATGACAGAAAATCATCATGAGCTTTACATCTACCTGCCATGTGACGAGAAGATACTACAGTCCCTTCCAGATGATAAACAACTAGATACTTTGATACCTCAGAAAATGCTTTAAATCAATGTTATTAGCTCCTGATATGAAACAAGCAATGTTATTAACTTTTATCAATGTTATTAGCTCCTGATATGCAACAAGCACTTTGAATAATGGTCAACACAGATTTGAAGAATGCTCTTGTGTATGTAATGTGCTATTGTGTACGTAATATTCAGAAGGCAGGCACAAAATATGATCGAACTTATAAGGGGTGTCAACAGTGAGAAAAAGCAGTACTCAGAGCACCCTGTACCTCCTGCAACTTAAGATAAGGTACAACTGTATCACCTCAATGTACAATTTCTGCTCGTGCATTCCATTACACAATCTGCTTATTTTGATCCTCTTTACCTGCCTTTACAGTTTTGCCAGATATTTAAACACACTGCATATGCGTACATATATTTGTATGTAGGTATAGCCCAACTACTCAGCAATGTTAGCCCAACTATCCAGTAACTAACCAGAAAGTTCAAGTAAGCAGCACCTTTTAGAATTTTATAAACACGTCATCTCCTGAAAAAGTAAGCAAATAAGAAACTCATGAAGCCCACACATAAAAATGGTGCAAAACAGAATGATTTAATATCAGTAATGGATGAGTGTGGTCACATTAAAATAAATTTTCCTTTGGTTTTATGCAAACTCATTTTATTCTCGATAGGCCACTTTAGATTTGAAAAGAATGATAAAAACTAATTGCTTTTTATCTGTTTTTCTCTTGCATTTTGAAAAAATTAAAATTTCAGATCTTCCTTCTACAAAACAGTATGCAGGCACACTATTCTTGATGGCAGTATGCAGGATCCTGGCATCAAGAATAGTGCGCTTTAGTAGACATAATATGTGATTTTATTTGAAAATTAATAAACGATGGTGATACATCATTAAATATTACGATAAGCAATTTTAGTCTTAAATATTACGATAAGCAATTTAAGTCTGTATTCATAACTTAATAAGTCTGTATTTATTATTTAATTAACCATTAAGTATTTTTTACATGCTCAACTCGAAAATTTTTACTTATCACCCCCTTCACAAAAGCTTTTTTTAGCTTTCCAATTGACGAGAATAGATAAGTTTCGTAGTAGCAGCAAATCCTGCATGTGAGAGATTATGCAAATGATTAAATATGAGTCTGCGAAAGAAATTCAGAACAAATGGATGATGAAAGCCTGTAGAGATGTCACAAAGAATATTGCCATCATAGTATTGGCATAGCTTGAATTCCAGCTTCAAAAGATGACGTACTGTTTTTGAGAAGGTTTTATACCTCTGGATCATGCTGTTGAGTTTCGGAAATTTTTTTTAAAAACCAACAGTGGAGATTTTGTCATACAATCAATTTTGATTCTCAAAAGAGCATCAGCAATGACATTTCTAGAACTTTGCACATGCCTAATATCAGTAGAATACTGAGAAACAAAATCTAAATGGTGTAATTGCCAAGGTGAACATTTGTGATAATTCTGCTTAAAAGCATATACTAACGGTTTCTGATCAATATAAATCTAAAAATTTCTGCCCTGTAACATGTGCCAGAATTTCTTAATCGCAGAATATATTGAAAATAATTCTGTATTGA